GGACTGGGGTAGTCCCTCTATCCAACGCAGTCGTGCGTGCTCTAATTGCAGTGGCGGAGTCACCGGAAGATCCCTTCCGGCAGATCTGCCTGGAAACGCTCACCGAGATTCGTGAGTTGCCCGTAAATGATCGTCAGCCAATCGTTCACGAGAGCTCTTTAGTGGTCAAGGACATCGATTTGATGGCGAAGACGGTTGGAATCAGGACGCTCCTACATGTACTGTCAGAAGGTCCGCCGGAGATGGCTCCATTGCTTGTCTCTGCTTTTCTGTACATCGTCGACTGCCCTCGCACTAGGATGTATTCATGACCAGGCATCGACTTAGAAGTGAGATCACAGTATTGCTCCGAGTGTGACGATAACTAACGAGTATCCAGACTGCTCTGTCAGGTATCACCGATGCGTATGGAAGGGGGCCGGAATGCGCTGAGCGGATGAAAGCTTGTACACGGATCATCGTCTCGATGTTACGGACGTGGAGCGGTATGCAAGCTTGTCGCATCGTCAGCATCATTCTGATATGGAATGTTATGCTCACTGCAGGTCTCATGTACTTCTGCATACAAGACAAGCTGGCAATCCGTACATTAGTGGATCTCCTCCGTATACCCTCGCTCCAGTCTCGGGTAAGATCATTATTTCATCCCAAAGGCAATAAGGCCGATGTGACCCTCATCAGGAAGTGATCCTTGATATGTTCTTCGACTTACTTAACATCCGAGCGCCGGATGGCACCAAGCCTTCATCGATGGCAGACGGCTAACAAGTACGCTACCGTTTGTGTACTGAAGGTTCCTGTTGATCTTGCCTCCAGTATATCGGAAACTCAACCAATCTGCGGACATCGCAAAGCCACCGGAACATCCTCAGAAGCATCCTGTCAGTCTCAAGCTGACGGACCAGTACATTGCTTTATTGGTCCAAATTTTCTGTGGAGCCGGACTACTGGATGTATTTGCAATTTTGACGACAGAAATATCTTCACCTCTGATTCGAGTCTGGGCAGGCTCTAACAGGCATGCTGGAAGAGAGCCCCGTCGGATCTAACTTGTCTCGAAAGGCTACTCTGCTGATGGGGGAATTGCTACAAATGGCCAACAGAGTGTTGCCTCTGACCATCGCGGCTAGCATTCAGGTTGGTAGCCAATAACATGCGAAGCTTTCGTTGTTATTCACCCCAAGGATAGGCTCTACCACGTGTGTTTACCTTGGCTTCCGACTACTCTGTCGGGGAGCATCGGATCGTTGGGACGTCAGCGGTATCGTCGATTGATAGTTTCAATCGGCATCGGGCGAGCCTGCAGCCCATTACAGCTAACGCGAAGGGAGACTCACGTCCACGGTATTTGAGACACGTCCTTCATCTGTACTCCGCGTCGAGCATTGGGTTGCATCCACCAGATCAAATTCGATCGAAGACGCCGTCCGTCGCGGTCAGAGACAGATGGAACAGGCTAAGATCAAGATGGCTATTCAGATGGAGGACAAGGCTTTCCAGGCTCTTCTCTTGGAAACGCAGGTGAATCCGCTTG